CCCCCCCGCGCGTCTCGAATACTCGTCATGGATCCGCCTATGACGGGTTTGCACGTGGGAAGAAAACATTCTCGTTAAATTTCAGCTTTCTATCTTTCGTGGTTCCGGGAATAATTTCCCGCCAAAACTTTTAGGGGCTGTGTGTGATGCCTAAACGCGCGGGCAAATTTTTTGGATCGCACGTGGACAGGAGACATACCCATAAAATTTCAACTTCCTAACTTCCGTGGTTCCCGAGATAATAATTTTCCTCACCAAAAATTTCACGGGGTCGTACATGTTATCCACAGGCATAAGAAAGTTGAATTTAACTTTTCTGGATGGCATGTGGGCGGAGGAAATATCCACAAAATTTTGGCTTCCTACCTTTCGTGGTTTCCGAGACAATAATTTTTCCTGCCAAAAGGCCGTACGTGTTACCTGCGGATACGGGAAGGCTGAATTCAAGTTTGCTAGGTTATACGCGGGCAGGGAACATTCCCCTAAATTTTCAGCTTCCTAGCTTTCGTGGTTCCCGAAAGGAAAGTGCGGGACGGAATTTCGGACACACATACATGCACACAAACACACACACACAGACAACTCCGTGACAGTGTACTGTTACCCAGTGCAAAACGCATAAAAACTGAGTTAAGGGAAGCGAAAATTATCGCAAAGGCCGTCACTCAGTGCTGTAGATTTCTTCGTCTTTCTTCCCTGCTGCTGCGATCCTCGATCAAGGGCTTCATCAGGCAGTTGAATTACTAGCTGGGATGAACTGGCTGTGTTACAGGTAACAGACTTTAATGAGGATAACGACAATGGCAGGGAAGTGTCCAATGAGAAGCTGGACAGTTTGATTAGCGGACCGCGCAAAGAGGCACGGAAGATTGTTAATATCCGCAAAGAGGATGTGCTGCTTATCGTAAGTTCCATTCTTCGTGATGATCCATGAACAGTTTTGTCTTTTCTCAGAACATACTTCTTCGGGGATTCTCCATTCGCCTATTTTTCATTCAGCCTAATGCCGATATGAAAATAATCACCACTAGTTTCCTTGCGTTTAGTGCAGTCCATATCCATCTCCAAAGTTCCATCCCGTTTATTACTACTTAGGTGAAGCTGCACAGTAGCACTTAAGGCAACTTGACTTTTGCGAAGATCCAAGTATTGTTTATTTCCCGTCACCAATTTGCCTCTAAGCGACCTCGGAAGAGGAAGCCATCGACAGTCTTGTCAGTTGATGGTTGCTGCTGGCATTTGCTCTCACTCGGTCTTTTTTTGAGATTCTTCGTCTCTTACTGGTAGGATTTGAAGGGGTTTTTGAATTTTTATGCGTTTTTTGCAGCAGTGCAATGCGAAAAACGCATATTGACGAGAGGTTGTCTGT